TAAATCTCAGAAAGGGGCCATTTATAAAACTCTGTCTGCCATGTGTATTAAGTGCAATTAACTTGTTCTATAATCAGTGTAAGGTGGTAAAAGTTGTATTTATCACTGTGGGCTCTAGAACCAGGTTACTATAGTGGATCCACTAGTTATTATCTGAGAGACAGTGGGCAAGTTACTAAAGCTTTTCCTGATCCATCTTCTTTTCTATAAACTTGGCATAATAATAATACCTATGTCATCAGTTTTGAATAAAAATTAAATGTACTAACACATGTAAATCTCTTAGAGCAGAGGAAGTACTCACTAAATATTATCTATTAATATTAATATCCTATTTTTAGGTCTACTCAAAACCTTTTACTCAATATTTATTAAACAATCATATTTCAATAAAACATGCATAGTGGGCAGCCTGGGTGGCTCAAGCGGTTTAGCGCCGCCTTCTGCCCAGGGCCTGATCCTGGAGACCCGGGATCGAGTCCCACATCAGGCTCCTTGCATGGCGCCTGCTTCTCCCTCTTCCTGTGTCTCTGTTTCTCTCTCTCCTCTCTGTGTATTCTCAGAAATAAATAAATAAAATCTTAAAAAGAAAACATGCATAGTATGTTAAGTAATCTTGAATAATATATGTGCCATGATTTTCATTGATATGAATATTTTTTACAGAAAATGATATTTTAGGAATTATTTCAAATAAAGCAAAATAAAAACTTTGTATTATTATAAATGCCAGGCACCTTGCCTTTAACTAGTACATAGTCTATGATAAATTATGAAGTATCTAAAAATATACAGAAATATAGGTAGTCCAATATCATAAATATAGTCTCAAAAATACCTACCATTTTATTTCACATTATTCTATATGCCAAGAGTGAGATCTAACTTTGAATTATATAACTTCATTAAGTTAGGAAGTTTTACAAATTGCTTTAGAGTCTATTGAGTTTTACTACACATTTTATAAAATTATATTGTTTCTATACAAAGTTATAGCTCACAGAATAATAGCAACATTCTCTAAAAGAGATAATGCAACCTTCAAATGCTTTAACATAGAGTCAAGAGTTTAAAACACAGAGCAATAGGGATCCAACTAGTCCTAATAATAGTCCTCTATAGTCAGAACTGCTCATTGTACCTGTTTCAATGGGCCTATACATTATTTTAAATTGGTTGCTTAGATTTATGGTTTGGAATCTCAGACTGGATGCTGTCCATTTTAAATGTTTTATTTATTTATTTATTTATTTATTTATTTATTTATTTATTTATTTATGATAGTCACATCATAGAGAGAGAGAGAGAGAGGGAGAGAGAGAGAGAGGCAGAAACACAGGCAGAGGGAGAAGCAGGCTCCATGCACCGGGAGCCCGACATGGGATTCGATCCCGGGTCTCCAGGATCGCGCCCTGGGCCAAAGGCAGACGCCAAACCGCTGCGCCACCCAGGGATCCCGGATGCTGTCCATTTTATCAAAGTTGTCAGGACTCTATTGTCCCTGCCATCACACATTTTAAAGTCATGCAGGCATTTGAGATAACTAGTGACCGTTTCATAAATAGGGTCACTCCAAAGTAACTACATGGTAAAATAAATTCTTTTTTTTTAAAGATTGATTGATTGATTGGTTGGTTGGTTGGTTGATTTACTCATGATAGACATAGAGAGGGGGAGAGAGAGGTAGAGATACAGGCAGAGGGAGAAGCAGGCTCCATGCCAGGAGCCCGACGCAGGACTCCATCCTGGGACTCAAGGATTGCGCCCTGGGACAAAGGCAGGTGCTAAACTGCTGAGCCACCCAGGGATCCCCTAAAATTTCCTTTTTAATATCTCTCAGACTTATGACTTATCAGAACAACAGTCCACTCTTACTCATATTCTGTTTTTTAATTTAGGTAATGACAAATAATTGCCTTTATTGTAAGGAACATAGGGTAATATTTCTCAAAGAAAATGGCTTTGTTCATCCTTTGACTCAGGCAACCACTAAGAGGATATATATACTCTAATAAGCAAAGAAAACCAATAGAATTAATAAGCAAGATGATTTACAAAAAAAAATAGTAATAGAATTGAGAGGTTTATATTGATAGCTAATGAAGTATACTGGTGAGAAAGTTTCTTCTGTTTAAAATTTATTTATTTATTTGAAAGTGCAGGGAGAAGTAGAGGGAGAAAGAGAGTCGTAACCAAACTACATGCTCAGCACAGAGCCCCATGTGGGGCTCGATCTCACGACCCCAAGATCACTACCTGAGCTGAAACCAAGACTCAGCTGTTTCACCAACTGTAGCACCCAGGAGCCCTGAGAAAATTTCTTAAAGAATGTTATTTTTAATCATTTTTCTTAGAAAAAGAGGAAGCATATTCTTAACTTTGTGATCATTGAAAACTAGATAAAACATTCATATTGCATGCTGACTGAATAAGGAAATAACCAATTAGGCTGGCTATTATAAGTAAGCTTTGCAAATGAAATCTTTCTTTGTTTTGTATTACTAAACTTTCTATAACTATGCAAATTTCAATAGTGGAGTGAAAGTAGGCCTTTTCTTCTAGTGCAGGCAGAATAATGGCTTCCCAAAGATGTCTACATCCTAATCCCCAGAATCTATGAATATGGTAGCACAAATAGCAACATAGCAAAGTGGGGGTGGGGGAAGGGGGCAGGAGTATTAAGGTTGTGAAGGGAATTAAGTCAGCTAATTAGCTGACTTTAAGCAAACTATTCTACATTAAATAGGAATGTTCTACATTAACTCAGATTGTATGGGGGTGAGCCCAATGTAATCATAAGTATCAGTGTCAGACAGATGTAAGGTTGTTGGCTTTGAAGACGGAAGAAAGTGTCATAAGGAATATGGATGGCCTGTGGAAGATGGGAAAAGCAAGAAATTCGTTTCTTCCCTAAAGCCCCTGTCAACACCTTGATTTTAGCACAGTAAGACTTATTTTGAACTTCTGACCTTCAGAGCTGTAAGATAATAGATGTGTGTATGTGTGTTTAAGTTACTAATTTTGAGGTAATTTTTTATAGCATCTGTAGGAAATTAATGTAATCTAATTTGAAAAAAGTGAAGACAAGGGCATACTCCATTTCCGATGTAACAACTTTAGGATAAAATGAGTAGGTCACCTTTGAAGGTTCTGAGGGAAAACACCAAAGAAGTAAAAAATCCTGCCGTGTGTTGGGATTTAAGTTACATGAAGCTTGTTTGGATGAGACTTTGAAACTCACATCAAGTCTTCACTTTCCCCTTTGAATAACAACACCTTTGGGTGCTCAGAGGTCATAAATTTCACACATTTCCAACTATTGCCTCTTCAAAGGATGACTGGATCTCAAATTCTCTGCAAAGATTTTGACTAAGGTTTGGGACATTATGGAAAGTACAGCTGTACAAATATATACATCCTTGTCTACTCCTACCTGCAAAATATGGGTGTCATGGAATTGGGTTCATTAAGATTAGGTTGCACTATTTTTTTCTACTATCATTTATCAAGGATTAGACAGACAAGAGAGGTACTTCCATATTATTTAATTTTTAGTTAGGCATTCAAGAAATCCCAATGTTATCAAGATAGCATTCAGATCTCCTTGAAATTTTTGAAAAGTTAGTTCACTTTGGAATTCTGATTTGTTCATTGTTGAATAAAACATTAAATGTAAAATATAGCAAATATATTTAAACATAAATCATACTTGTTTAAATAATTCCTCTTGTGTTACTAAATAGTATAAATGATTTTATGAACATTACAATTTATTTTTATTACAATAATAATTATTATTTTATAATACTTCATATTTAGTGATATGGAAATTAGCTCACATTTTTAATAACATCAAAAGATGGATTTAATGCATCTAACCTAGTATCTATATTATTACCATTTGTTACCTTTGAATAAATATTGAGCATACATTATATCATTTTTACTTCAATTAGCAAAACTTCTCCTACACATTGTTTATATTTGTTTAATTCAGTGCTGACTATTTTCTAAATGGTAAATGAGTTCCCCTGATTAATTCTTTCCTCGTTTGCAAACTTTTATTATGTAACAAGTAAAACAGATCTTTAATGAGTAAGTAAAGAAAGAATGTTGACTCTCTCAGTAGGGATATTTAATCATTGAAGATAAAACACTGGTGATTCTGAGTCTGAACATTAAGATCAAATTCTGAAAAGCAAGATTAGTGTTTGCAGCTATATTTTGCCATATAAACATTTGTGAACACTTTTAAGGCAGATATTTTTAATTGAAATGTGTAAATGAATCTATGAAAACATATCTATAGTCTTCTTTTAATTTCCATATTGCTAGTCAGATTTATTGCATTTCTCAAATTTATATGTAAAAAGCTTTTAGGAAAGATAAGCTATTTTATGTAGAGATTATAACATGATTGATAAGGATAGAAAGTCATTTTATACCTCTAAATTTTATTAAGCTCTTCCAAGATGCAGTTTTTTTTTAAGATTTAAAAAAACCATAGCTGACATTTGTTTATATGACTTCACATTGACTTTTAAAAGTGTTTTGTTATTTTAAGGCATGAAGAAAATTTGAGAAAGATGGTAAAGAATTTATTAAATTTACTTCTCTTCACTTTCAGAAACCACATAGAGATTATATAGAAATTACACTGGGATTATGTTATCTTTTCTAATATCAGTAATAGAAGTTGTAAAATCTACTGACAGAACTATACCATGACCACAATGATTCCACTGAATCAACAGTTTAGTATGAGACCATTAAGTAATTCAAACAAGTTATATATTTGCATCTATTTTGATCATTATTGTCTGCCAAGAAGAGAAAATAAGGCAGTGAAATTACTACTCCCTTTGGTTTCCTGCCACACTTTCTTTAAGAAAAATAAATGTCACAAGAGTGTTTTCACATCTTAATTTGTACACTCCCTTGAGCAATTTGTATGTTGGATTAGTAGTAAATGGTGACTATTTGATTTTATGTTTTATCAGGAGCTACAACTATAGAGAAATATGACCTAAGAACAAATTTGTGGATCCAGGCAGGGATGATGAATGGCAGGAGATTGCAGTTTGGTGTGGCTGTTATTGAAGACAAACTCTTTGTAATTGGAGGTCGAGATGGCTTAAAGACATTGAACACCGTTGAATGTTACAATCCCAAAACCAAGACTTGGACTGTCTTACCACCAATGTCAACACACAGACATGGTCTAGGTAAGATCTCTTACTTTACTGATGCTATTTTTAGAACATTTATTGATAGTGAAAATGTATGTTAAAATATAGTATTACTGTCATCAATTACCATTAACTTTAGGTAAATTATGAGCTTATTTGGAATATTTTTTATTCCTGACATTTTCCTGTGTTGACCAGTGTGAGTTAAACTGTTGAGAAGAATGTTAGAGATACCAAAATAAGTAGATCTCAAGCTATCCTCAAAGTTTTCACAATCTGACATTCATACAATATGTAAAGTTTGATATGAATTAAAAAAAAAAGTAGAACTATCATGGAGAAGCCAGAGTGATACAACTCTGAGGAATAGATAGGTAATGTGCATAGAGAAAAAATTAAGATGGCTCATTCCCACATTGCTGGATAGACTAGCCTAACCAGACCTTTGCACATAATTGACTTCACCTTGAAAAATCTATGGAGAAAGGGCAATATGGATTTAGAGAAAGAGCAATATTTCAATTGACATGAGAGGTTGATAATATAGGATTCAACTGATTTTTACTGGGGAGTAACCTGGAGATGGGAAGAACTATATTGGAATTCAGAAGGTCTGGGTGTGAGTCTTAAAGCTACCAATTGACATGATTTGAGGCCAACACTTAAACTATGAGCCCTCAGTTTCCTGATTTGCCATAAATTCTAAGTTATTAAGTAGATTAAATCTAATGATGACGATGAATATAAAATTGTCAATTGTGTAAATTATTGAGTCCTATACAAATATTTGAAAAAGAGGAATGTAATAATGGCTAAGAGTTCCTGAATTTGTACTTCGTATTATGGGGATTATCAGGAGAAGTGCAAATTACTTTTTATGAAGACCTGAAATATGCCAGGTAGTCAACTAAGTGTCTTGCATATATTTAGAATATAAACATTAGAGAGGTATCAGGGTTTAATTGCAAATTCACTAATTTAGACATTCAGAGGCAAGCAAAATTATAAAGCAATTCAAAAACATATTAATTATAATTCAACTTTCAGGTCTTCAGCACTGCATTTCCTATTCTTGTCACTCTACCATTGATCTAAGCAAAAAAATTTTTTTGAAAAGTAAATAAAATAGCTCTGAATTAAAGCAACTTACCTTTTTCATATTCTGGTTTACCTCCCTTTCTTCACATTAGTCATTAGTAATTTAAGGAATAGTAATAAGTGTGTGAGAACCTTTTCAAGTTCTAAAATTCTGTTCTTTAAATAAAAAACATATAGTTTATTTAAATGACATGGAATCCAATGATAATATGGAAAAACATGAACAGCACATTATTATTCTTAAGTAATATTCATGAGTATAAAGATTTTCTCATATATATTTTTTTCAAATATATTGGAGGATTTTTGCTTTTGCATCCATGTGAAAGCTGTATGTGTTGTTTGTTTTATCTGGCTATCTAATAACTACTTATATTTGGGTGAAATACAGAGAATAAGCATTCTGGATTGGAATTTTTGGAATTTAATGTCTCTTCCCCTTTTGTTTTAGACAATTCAATTATTTTGTATTAAGGTATGCTAAAGTTCAATTATGTAGGTTATTTGCATGCTAAGAGAACATACTTGAAAATATTTCACCAAAAACACATCTTACATGGTGTTAATTTCAAGTGTTTAAAGTGTACAGTAATGGTTTGCCTCAAAATACTATCACACAGGTTCTAATTCTTTAGGTAACAAGGCTGGGCAAAATGGTAACCTTGGATATTGTATTTTAGTTTTTCTTATTTGCTAAGAAAAATAAGAATGCTAAAGGGTTCATTGTAAATGTCCATGTGTAAGTAAAGCTGCATAGCAAATTATATGAACTAGTAAGTACCACAGGTATTTGAAGTGTAGTGCAGTATTTCACTACACTTGTAGTGCACAAGTTTTAGTAATCCATTAGCAATTGTAGTAGTCCATATTTTCATGCTTAGGCCTTGCTTACTTTGTGTTTTTTGTTCTGCTTCACTTCTATTATCAAGTGGATCACCTCTCCTCCATATCTCATGCCACTGGTTTCCTCTATCTTTTACTTCCAAGTGGTTATTGCTTCCTGCCAGTTTTTTAAAAATTCGCTACAATACTCAAGATCTGACCTTGTTGAGTTAGGGCACCATGTCTGGACGTAATTCTCATTTCAGTGTGCCTCATAGATTGCCAGCAATGCCTAGTATATAGAAAACTGCCTTCAACTTGGATGCGAATCAGTTGAAGCCAGATTGATAGCAATATAGGACATATGTGTGTGCTCTGATGAAGCTGAGTGTTTCCTTTATGATCAATCACATTCCTCATGATCAGTTGAATCTCAGGAGGTTCATCATTCTGTATCATACTCAAAGGGAAAAAATTTCCTTGGCCTAAGATTCTTGTTCTTTCAATATAACACATCAATCTTCCTCCCAAGGACTACCATTACATTGATGTTGATACTTCTTATTTAATCCATCATATCTTCCAAGTTTAATTTTATATGCTTCCTTTTATCCCTTCCTGATGGCTAATTTTACTTTCTAGCCCTCCAAATTGTTCTTAATCTGTGTGCATCATGGTATTTCTCCCATGTATTGATGTCTTGATCTTAATTTTGTTTTTTACATACTCATATTCCTGTTTGGTGATTTACTATAATTGCTTTCTTCTTCACATTATTAATATCCTTCCTTATCTCTGTGAGGCATATAATAAATATATTATGCCTATTTCAAATTCCTATCTGCCTCTTTAATTAATTCTTTTTTATTTATTATGTGGTCAACCTCCTCTTCCTTTCCTCAGCTCTCTCCTCTTACTTTTCTCTTTCTTCTGTTAGTCATTATTTTCCTCCATAAGTTTCTCTTATTCCCTTGTTTCCTCTACTTCTTCTTCCTCCTATCTTTTTCTTCCTTCTTTTCTTTTTCCTTTTCTTATAATCCTATTTAATGGTAATTATTAACCACTGAAACATGTAATTTTTAACTGTGTTTTTCAACTGTAATTTTTAAGTCACATGGGTATATTAGATACTTTGGCTAACTGAATGGAAATTAAAGCATATGTCATTCTTTGTGTTATCCCAAAACATTCAGGAGTGGGTGGGGAAATTTTGCCAGGGTGTGGAGCCTTGATCCTGCAAGCTGAGTCTGCCCAACCTATCTAATATTATTCCTAACACATAACCATCAGGGATATATCTATTACTTTCATTTGCACACAAATGTCCTTGAGTCTTTTTCGCCTGTGATGCCCTAACTATAGGCCTGGGATCTGGGATAGAAAGGGAATATTCTGAACCAGAAAGTCGGTTTGCTTCTGCTGTTAATAATTCCTCATCTAAACTGGGCTCTGATGACATCCCGATGTCATCCAGCCTATTATGGCAAGTTCTTATGGGTGCTGCTCTTTCCTGCCAGTTTATAAGATTCACTGGCTTATCTTTTTTTCTTAAAGATTTTATTTATTTATTCATGAGAGACATAGAGAGAGAGAGGCAGAAGCAAGCTCTCCGCGGGAAGCCCGATATGGGACTTAATCACAAGATCCCGGGATCACGACCTGAGCCAAACCCAGACGCTCAACCATGAGCCACCACAGTGCTCCAAAAAATCTGTTGTTTTTTTTTTTTAAGATTTTATTTGCTTATTCATGATAGACACAGAGAGAGAGGCAGAGACATACGCAGAGGGAGAAGCAGGCTCCCTGAGGGGATACTGATGCCTGACTGATCCCCAGGACCGTGGGATCAGGACCTGAGCCAAAAGCAGACTCTCAACCACTGAGCCATCCAGGTGCCCCATTAGCTCATCTTTTGACTACATCAAAAGAGCACAGAAGAAATTTTCCCCCAAGATAATCACCCAGGGCAGTGTCATGAATTTTTGTCTCACTCAGTAAATCACAATTGATTTCTGTTTCTCATTATTTTTTACAGTCTTGATGTTTGTTTTTCAAAAACACATCATGATTCTCAGTTTCATGTAATCTCCAGGACTGGGTCTGAGTATAAACCAACAGTCTTCTGTGCTAGTTTTTTATTTTTTCAGAAATTAGAATGTCTCATTTTATTTTCCATATAGTTAATCAACATCTATTCTGTGATACACAATGAAATTACAAAATTGACTATATAACCCCATATTATACATGGGATGAGGACTGTAACTTACAGGCTAAAGTAAAATAAAAAAAATACATAAATAAAATTCAAGAAATTTTTGACCTATATAGCTTTTTTCCTACCTTGATTTGTATAGGAAAGACAAAACTTGCATATTTTTTGAGAAAGTCACATGAGTTCTTTGGTTGCTAAAAATGATTATTTGACCAAAAATGTTTCATAGCTATCAATAAATGAAGAAAGCTCCTTATGCTGAATAAAATAGCATAGAAAAATTATGTGCATATTACATCTGTGATGTCAAGGGAGCAATGCATCTGCCTAGAGAATTACACTAATTAATACCACAGTTCTCTCAATATGCTAAGAGCTTTTATTTTGACATTTATGTCTTTGAAGCACATAATTCTAGATATCATGATTTTTTTCACTACATTTTATATTACATAAAACTGAACATGACATTACTACAATAAAGTGTTTACAATTATGTCTTTTTAGGAGAAACTGATAAGGTGTAAGAGTTATGGTTTATTATAGATATCCTATATGCTAGGCATCATGTTGTATGTTAAATATATGGTTATGGTAGGAGTTGTTTTTGTTGTTTTTGTTTTACTTCCCTTTCTTTATTCCTTATTCAAGGTAAAATGCACATACCATAAAGTTAAGTATTAAAGTATAAATTGAGTGCTTTTGAGTATGTTCACAGTAGTGCAGCCATCACCACTATCAAATTCCAAAATATTTTTATTATCTTAAAAAGAAACTCTGTACCCAATAGCACTTGTTCTTCATTGCCCTATCTTTCTAGCCCTTGGCAATAATTAATATACTTTCTGTCTCTATGGATTTGCCTATTCTGGACATTTCATACAAAATAGAATCCCATAAT